GGCCAAAAACTGGACATGGTTCTTAGGGGCTCTATTTGCAAGCTCCATGGTTGTCCTTGAAGATGCAATTTAGAGAGCCAAAGCGCTGGGGGGCGTGTGGAGGACAGGAGTGTCACAGAGGAATGGATGGAGGCAGCGGGGAGTGGGGTTACAAAGGAGCAGGGCCAAGAAGTAGGCTGGGGTGTTGAAGGCCTATTGGAATAATAAAGGAGAAAGCAGTGTCACCATGCCTGGCTACTTGGGTTTCATCCTGGCTCTGCTAATAGCTGTGTGTCTTGAAGCCAATTGCTTGACGTCTCTTGACGTCTTTATGATCACAATTTCCTTTAAAATAAGGATAACCATGGCTGCCTCCTATGACTGTTATGAAGATAAAATGAGTTAATATTTGTAATGTACTTAGAGTAATTTTTTATCAATGAAATTAACAACTGGCATTAAGGATGGTCACCAGCATCATTACCATTGCCTCTTGAGAAATGCAAGTTACTGGGACAGAGTCCAGCCTCTCTGGTTCAGAGTGTCTGCAAAAGGAGCCTTAAGACTGCATTCTAATATCTGGCTAGAGGATGATGGTGCCTCTCAAGCTCTGCAAAGCACTGGTCTGTTTCTTAGGCAGGTCTGTTGATGCCTCTGCTTATTAAGAGATACAGATTAGCCCTAGCCGGTATGGTTCAGGGGATAGATTGACAGCCTGTGGACCAAAGGGTCCCAGGTTCAATTCTGGTCAAGGGTGCATACCTTGGTTGCAAGTTTCTCCCTGGCTTACACCCTGCAGGAGACAATCAATCAATGTGTTTCTCTCACATCGATTTTTCTCTCTGACTTTCCCTCTCTCTTCCACTCTCTCTAAAAGATCAATGGAAAAAATATACTTGGATGAGGATTAACAAAAAAATAAATAAATAAATAAAAATAAAGGATGCAGATTACTGGGCCTCACCCCAGATCTATTGAACTAAAATATATAGGGATTAATTCCCAGAATCTATCTTTAAAAAAAAAAAACTACCCCAGTAATAAGTTTGAACAAAATTGAACAGAAAAGAGCAAAGTGACAGACTTCCTTAATTTACAAATAGGGAAGGGAAACCCCAAGAAGGAAGAGAATTTGCCCAAGATCTCCCTGCAGGGACTAATAAGCTGAGAGACTCTGAGATCAAACTCCTCCCAGACACCCCTGCCTGCTACCCCAAATAGTCCTATGGCCATAGGCTAACTATCCTATTTCCCTCTAGGAAGTGCTTGATAAAATTAGGCACTTTGGGAAAAGGAGTCAGCAGAAGAGGAGATTCCAAGAGAGGGTCTGATCTTGGGGCCTCTTGGTTTGGCTGCCTCTAAGTTGGTTGCTGGAAGTTTAGAGACCCCACACCAGTTCTCTCTCAAAGAGGGCGCAGCTTCTAAGCCCAAGTGAGGTGACCCTTCTGAACTCATGGAAGAAGAACAGATCATGTTCCAAGGCTGTTACATAATGTATGTGTTACCAATAATTCTACTTTTGACATGTAGAACAATAGATGCTAATCCACTCCACCTGGAAGATGAGGAAGAAAACAGAAACAGAGGGATGCGAAATTAACACTTAACAGTGAAAGCCCAAGGAGGGTTAAGAAGAGACAGGGACCAAACATGGAAGTGAAGAAAAAACAAAAGGGACTGAGAAAAAGAGAAGCTTGGGCTCATGATGATAATGATGTTGGCCATTAACTGATAATTACACTTGAGGTAAAGTGAAAAAATTTTAAAGGAAAAAAAAAAAAGTTCACAGAGAGATATCTCAGAACACAAAGAGGAAAAACTGCCTTGCCTCCAAGATCCTCTGTTTCTTGGGCTACGTGTGTATATTTAGCTCCACTTTTGTCCATCTGCAATGGCATCCCAGCCAGCACACCCTTTCAGCTAATCCCAGAGTTTCCTGGCTCCTTGAGCCTACCTAACAGCTCTTCATTACCAGTCACTGTTGCATGGAATAATTAGCGAGATGCCATTTGAAGTGGCCATCTTCCATTTCTGCGTTAGTGTAAAGCTAACCCTCATAAAGAAACCAACTGCTTGGAGCTGGCTGGGTCTGCCCCTGTAGGTACAGAGTAGAACAGGTGTTGTGGCTGTGCTCTGAGAACTTTGAGGCAAACCCACAGCAACTTGGCAGTAGTGACAGAACAGGCAGGGCTTGAGGAGTCTGAAGAGCCACTAAGGAAACCTCACCTTCAGCTGCTGTTGATGTGGTGCTGCTGAAATTGTTCAACACCCCTGGAGACACGATGTTCACCCTGAAAAGGCTAGGATTGCACATTCCCTTACAATTAGGCACCTTGTAGGATTTATATGGCAAGTAGTTTGTATTTTATTATAAATGTGACAAGAATACTTTCGGCCCAGTGGCAGGTAGTGGGGCAAATTTACTGTTGTGTAAAAGTAAGTTTACCGTTGAGTGTGTTATTTACCAGCCCCATAGACTGGTAAAAAAACAAAACAAAACAAAAAAACCTCACATTGTTGGAAGAGGTGAGAATACATTAAATACTAAAGCCAGGGCTGGCCAAGTCAGGGAACAAGCCAGTGCTTTTGGATATTGACTGCTTCATGAACCCATGGATGTCAACACTTCAAAAGCAGAATTATTGATATACGCACTCAAGGGTGTATGCTGGCACACACACACCATTCCTAGCACACACAGCAGCCCCTCCCTCAGATTTCCCCATATTAGCTAAGAGACTTTATCTTTTTTGTTGCTCAAGTCAAAAGCACAGGACTCATTGAGGATCCCTCTTTTTCTCTCATTTCTGGAATACTACATCCATAAACAAACCATTCCTGGGCACATTCTGTCCCCAGAGATGTCAGACAATTTTCACTGCACCATTCTCTACTACCTCTAACTCCTCCTAACATTTTAACATCTACAGATTTAAAGAGAGAGAGAGAGAGAGAGAGAGAGAGAGAGAGAGAGCGAGCGAAAGAATCAGAAGTCCCCTCATACAATAATTTGTTCTCTACCTCTGTATCTGTGTTGGGACCAGTCACCTATACCACTTTAGGGTGACTTAAAAGAAGTGGAATTTGTAAAACTCCATTTTTTAATTTTTTCTAACTTTTTCATACCACTTTTATAATTATGCTCTTCAAGTATGCTCTCTACAAACCCCACCCAGCACTCAGAATCAAAGCTGTGATGGCAGTTCTCAGTATCTACATTACTTTAGGTCAAATTAGGGGAAGCTTTCCCACTTATTCCACTAACACTATTAGCTTTCACATAAACATCTATTTCTCTGTAAGTTGCAAAAGAATTGTCACCATCATGGCCTACCCAAAATATTCTCCTCTTTGACCAGATGTTTTATTATTTTTTAATATATTTTATTGATTTTTTTTTTTTGCCCTCCTCCCTCCCTCCCATACATTCCCTCCCTCCCCAGAATTTTATTGGTTGTACTTATATGCATGTATACAAGTCCTTCGGTGACCAGCTGTTTTAACATAGCACCCAATATGAAAGGCATCTGCTCTTCTTCAGGTTCCTAACGGGTAAGGTGTTTCCTCCAACCCCTTGCAAAGCACTCTTCGGTCATCTGTTGGGAGATGCCTGACCCTGGAGCCCTCCATCAGGACCCTCTAGTAAGGCGCCTCCTGGACCTCAGGAGTGCGGTGCTGGCCTCTTTATTCCTCCTACTGGGCATGGTCTGCTGTGCATCAGCCCCTCTGACAAACTGGTTCTTTGCCTGCAGGGAAGTGGGAAAGTGGAGTGGGAGTACCTTAGTCCCACCAGACCCCCACAGAAGCGGGCTGCTTGGTGCCTACTTAGATCTTAGGGCCCATTGGTCCCCTAGGAGCTGGTGAAGCGCAATGCACAAATGAACACACATTCGGCCCGGTGGGATCTGGACTTTTGCCTCTGTTGGGTGTGGGAGATTTTCCTCAGCCCCGGATCTGGCTAGGGATGCTCCTCCCAAGTCCGCCGCCCAACTTGCAGCATCTGAAGGGCACCGACCACTGCGCAGAACGCACCTGGGGCGGCTTTGACAGGCGGTTCGCCCAGCAACTCTGGTCCCCTAGCCCTGGTCCTGCTCCTGGAAGCCGCCTCTGCGCAATCAGGCTCCTCCCTCACCCGCCCCGCGATGGTGACGGCAGTGGACCCAGAGCAGCGGGGAAGGGATGGAGGACACAATTGCTTAAAGTTTGTCCCCAGTAAGTGGATGAGTGGGACACAGCGTGATCTTCGATCCCTAGGGCGGTGGCGCGGGCATGTCCGGGGACCCTGCCTTGCCACTCGCCAGCCCGCCCGCCCTTTTGAAGGCCACTTGGCGACCACAATCTGGCGGTCTGTTGGCCAGCAGCCCTGCCGGGTCTGGAGCCCCGGCTTTCTCACTTCAGGCTAGTGGAACGCAGGGCATGGACAGACGCCCTCCCTCGGGATCCAGCAGACATTCCCGCTCAGCCCGCTGAGCGTCATCAGCACTCCTGGTGCCGCCATCACCAGCAGGGGTGGAGTGGATTCTCCGCTGTGAGTGCTTCTTCTGCATTTGAGTGGGATTTGGAGTTCTTAGGAGTGATTGGCATGGAGGTTTGGGGGTAAGAGGAGGGAGGGATAGGCAGCTCCCCATGGTGGTGGGAACCCGCTTCCCATTCTCCACCTTCAAAGGTCAAGAGTTTTACACCTGGAAAGTCATTAGGAGACAGTCTAGGCAGCTGTAAAACGGGGAGCCTCAAGCAGCTGGGGGTGAGGGTGGGGGTGTTGAAAGTGCAAATTGCAGAACTGCACTCCAGGACTGCAGGAAGATCTTGAGTGCAGCAGCCCCTTCCTTCCTTTGTCACAAGTCCACAAGTTCACAGGCACAAAGTTTAACCTGAGCCAAGCTCCTTCATTTACAAATGAGGAAACTGAGATGCCCAAGAAGAGTTTGCAGAAAGACGCCCTCTAATTGTGTTGTTGGTGAGGTGGTGGTGGTGGGGGGAGGGGGTAGTGGAGGGTGGGGGGTGGGGGGATTCTTCCCTGCCTTTAGGGTGGAGTGGCAGTGGCCAAGTCCCACAGACGCCACCGCAGGAGCCTTTGGGGGCCCTGGAAGCTGGTGGAGCGCAGGGCATGGACAGACGCCCTCGGATCCGGACCGCTGCCTCTGTGGAGTCCTGGCGATTTTCCCGATTTTCCACAGTGGCCACCAGGTGTGGCCCGGAATGCTAGTCCCTCCACAGGTGCCCACCTAGCAGGGCCTGAGGCGCCTGGGGCAGCGGTGGTGGGCTGTTTGCCCCAAGCTCCCAGCTCAGGTCCTGGGCGCGAGGTTCCGCTACTCGCTTCTCTGACTGCCAAGCAATCAGAGCCCAGGGAAAGCTCAGGGCCCCGCGCCTCCCACACCCTCCCCGCGCTGGCTCCGCCCTCAAGTAGCCACAGCGGACTGAGGGGGGCGGGGGAGCGGGGAGAAGGATGGAGGGGCACAATTTCTCAAAGTTTGTCCCAGAAAACGGAAGCTGGCAGGTGGACCTACAGTGGAAGCGAGTGGATGGGCGGGACTTAGCCCAGTGGGACATTCCTGATTGTTAGAGCGGCTGTGATGACTTGTCTTTCCCACCAAGCACAGGGCGCCACTACCTCTCCAACTATTGGCCAGAAGTGGTGCCCACGCCTATCACGCGGGCTTTTCCACTTGCAGGCTTCACAGCAGAGGTTCTTTTGACGGCCAGCTGAGCGCCACTCCGTAGCTTCTGTGACTCCCAGGACAGCGGTCACCAGCACCTTTGGGACAGATTCTCTGCTTCTGTGAGTGGCTATTTTGCAGTTGAGTGGGACCTGGAGTTCTTAAGGGGTGGTTGACATGGAGGCATTTTCCAGGTGGGAGGTGGGGGAGGAATGGATGGGCAGCCTCTCATTGTAGCAACCCCCTTCCAGCTCTGGCCTTCAAGGTCAAGAGTTTTACACCTGGAAAGTCATTTGAGATTGTCCAGGCAGCTGTTTCAACAGACCAGCTGTGACAGCTGGGGTGGGGTGGGGTGTATGTTAAAGCGCAAATTGAATAACTGCACTCCAGAAGTACTGCATGGTGATATAGTGTGTGTGTGGGGGGGAGGTAGTAATCTCCTACCTTTCTTTGTCACAAGTCCACAGGGGATAGTTCACAGGCACAAAGTTTAACCTGAGCCAAACTCCTTAATTTACAAACGAACAAACTGAGATGCCCAGGCGGGATACAGGGAGAGAGTTTGAGAAAAGACGCCCTCTAATTGTGTTGTTGGTGGGGTGGTGGTGATGGTGGTGGAGGGAGGAGGAGGAGTGGGGGATTCTTCCCTGCCTTTAGGGTGGAGTGGCAGTGGCCAAGTCCCACAGACGCCACCAGCCTTGGGGCCTTTGGGTCCCCTGGAAGCTGGTGGAGCGCAGGGCATGGACAGATGCTGCCTCTGTGGAGTCCTGGCGATTTTCCCGATTTTCCGCAGAGGCCACCAGGTGTGGTCCGGAATGCTAGTCCCACCTCAGCCGCCCACCTCGCAGTGACTGAGGCTCCTGGGGCAGCGGTGGTGGGCTGTTTGCCCCAAGCTCCCAGCTCAGGTCCTGGGCGCGAGGTTCCGCTACTCGCTTCTCTGACTGCCAAGCAATCACAGCCCAGGGAAAGCTCAGGGCCCCGCGCCTCGCACACCCTCCCCGCGCTGGCTCCGCCCTCAAGTGGCCACAGCGGACTGAGGGGGGCGGGGGAGCGGGGAGGAGGATGGAGGGGCACAATTTCTCAAAGTTTGTTCCAGAAAACGGAATCTGGCTGAGGACCTACAGTGGAAGCGGTGGATGGGCGGGACTTAGTTCAGTGGGACCTTCCTGATTGCTAGGGCGGCTGCGCAGGCGCGTCCTTTCCACCAACCCACAGGCTGCTACTAGCCTTCTGTTGGCCAGAAGCGGTGCCCACGCCTATCACGCGGGCTTTTCCACTTGCAGGCTTCACAGCAGAGGTTCTTTTGACGGCCAGCTGAGCGCCACTCCGTAGCTTCTGTGACTCCCAGGACAGCGGTCACCAGCACCTTTGGGACAGATTCTCTGCTTCCGTGAGTGGCTATTTTGCAGTTGAGTGGGGCCTGGAGTTCTTAAGGGGCGGTTGCAGGTGGGGTCGGGTGAGGTATATGTTGAAGTGCAAATTGCAGAACTGCACTTCAGAAGTACTGCATGGTGATCTGGGGGGGGGGGGGGGGGGGGGGGTAGGGATTTCTTTGTCACAAGTCCACAGCAAGGAAGTTCAGAGGCACAAAGTTTAATCAGCCCAGCTCCTTAATCTACAAATGAGGAAACGGAGATACCCAGGTGAAGTGCAGAGAGAGGTTTTGTGGGAAATGCCTTCTAGTTGTATTTGTTGTTGTTATTAGGGGAGAGGGGCTCTTTCTTAACCTTAGGCAGTCTTCACCATTGCCATCTGTGCCTTCTCAGCTGAATACCTGAGGGGAGCCCTCTGCATATAGCTCAGAGTTCTCTCTGTGTGTCCTGTGAACAGAGACCACCTTGGTCTGTCAGCTCTGTCTCCTCAAAGCAGGAATTCCAACCTGCTCTGCCTTGCTATCCTTCCTTGCAGCCTGGCCCGGAATGACTCCAGGCAGTCACCCCTAGAAACCATAAGGTGTACTTCATTTGTGACTGCCCCTAACTGCATGGTGTCCAGTTCCTTGCCAATCAGGCTTTCATATATTTTGCCCATTTTTGTCTTCTTTTGATTTCAGAGAGGAGGGTGAATTCTGTCCCTGTCACTGCATTTGGCCAGAAATCCAAGGTAATACCTGCTTTAATGTTCTTGTCTACCAGTCTGTCACTGGTGTCTCTTCTTGGTCTCTTTTTGTTCATTGATCGTTCTCCATACTATTGGCAATATTTTCCTGCTTCTTTTATCCCTGATCATTTTTGATTGGTAAGCAAGCTTGGTTACTTTTATATGTTGGGGGCACTGGAGATGCTTGTATTCCTGTCAATGTTTTTCAGCTTTGTTCACACGCACAGTTACTGTCCTTGGAAATGGTTGTATCCTTGCAAGTCTTGCTTTTCCAGTTTTCAGGTGGCACCATACCAGCCTTTTGCAGAAGGGCTGGTTTTGTCCAGCTGGCGAGGCAACAGCTTTCTGAGTACTCTGCCTCAGTAGCTCATGGAGTATAAAGTTTTCTAGTTTGACCTTGGGGCACAGAAACTATTCTCAGCCCTGTATATGTCTCAGACTTGGTCTATCTTTTCCCTTTGTGGAGTTCTTCCCCTGACTTCCAAAAGTGTCATCACTGCCATGCACTGACAGACTTAGCTGAAAATTCTAAGGGAACACACTGCAGGTCTCCAACTCTCCCTCTCTCTGTCTGCTAGCTGCTGCTGTCTTCTCTCTAGCACTCTGACTCACAAACTTGAACCACCTAGGCCGCCCGTGACCCTCAGCTTATCTTCTCAATTAGGGAAACAGCCAGGCTCCTTACCCTGAGTTATGGCCTGGAAACTGTCCCAGACAATGAGCTAGACATCCGTGGGGCTACCTCGGTTCACTCCCACTCTCAGGGGTCAGAGGTCATGGTTCTGAGCTGCCTGCTGCCCAGTAATTGAAAGCTGTCATTTTGTATATCTTGTGTTATTTTAGTGACTTCAAGTGTGAGGATAAGCCCTTCCCTTTTTCTTCATCTTGCCAGTAGTGGAGGTGTGTTAGATTCTCTTGGGACTCATCATGAATCCTGTCAAACTTGAAGAGAACAAGTCACTCAATGCTACTGAATATGACCAGAGTACCAGACCTGAAGTTTCACAGGTATGTCTGCACTTTACACCTCTTGGCTGGAACGGCATTCTATAACCATAGTGCTGCATTAGGATCCTGGGAGAGGACTGTTCATAAAGAATGGCAGTGATGGTGCCTGCTTGTGTTATTTGAAATATGTTTGGGGACATCATCCACATATGTGTTTCTATAGCATGAAATGATAGTGTATGAATTAACAATGCAAAAAATGTCTTGTTAAACAGTTTTCTGGTTTGGCTAATCAACAATATAGACACTTAATACTGGAAATATAGGCAGGTCTAATAGTAATGGAGCTCATATCTACTGAGAAATTATTATGTACTTGGAATTATGCTTATCACTTTCTAGGATTATCTCATTTAACATTAAATGCAACTCTCTGTGGTAGATGTTATCACCATCCCTTCTTTACAAGTGAAAAATAAAAACAAAACACACACACAAAAAAAAACAACAACAATGAAACCCAACTTTTGGAAAGTCACAAAAGCAATGAACTTCAGAGCGAGGATATTGAACCCAGGCAAACAATCAGAGCACAGTTTTTTATCAGTGCACCTTTTTATTTAAAAAAAAAAAATGGGCAAAATGCTAATATTAAACTGAAACAGACATAAGTGATTTTAGTGTGCAGAGAATATTTGTATATGAATATATATATTTATTTGTATTTGACTATGTATACCTATCTATATATCCAGCCAATATTGTGATTTATTGAGCATTTTATTATATGTCTTTAGTGCTGTTGATATCGTATACCCAATAGAAACTCAACAGATATTTAATGGGAATTTTTGAAAGATGATGTACCAAATGTCCAAAAGATATATTAAGTATGTCCAGCTTTACTAGTCACTAAACAAATGTAGATTTTAAAAACAGTCAAATTAGATGACATTTCATCTACAAATTGGCAAACATTTAAAATGAGAATACTGATGAAACCTGGTTGGCTCAGTGAATAGAGTGTCAGCCTGCAGACTGAAGGGTCCTGGGTTCAATTCCGGTCAAGGGCATGTACCTTGGTTGCGGGCATATCCCCAGTAGGGGGGCGTGCAGGAGGCAGCTGATTGATGACTCTCTCTCATCAATGTTTCTCTCTATCTCTCTCCTTTCCTCTCTGTAAAAAATCAATAAAATATATTTTAAAAAATAAAAATAATAAAATGAGAATACTGAAACTATTATTATTAAACCACACACTAATCTTTTTGGACAATGGGGGTGAGTTGATGCAACTTTTCTGGAAAGCAGTTTGGCAGTGGATTTGTTGTGAAATACATTTATAAGCTTAATCTCAGTGTTTCCACTGCCAGGAATCTGGCCTAGGGAAATAATCAGATGGGCAGACAGAAATATTTTAAGTGTAGAACTGTTTATCATATCAGAGTAGTACAACATTGGAAACATTCTAAATATCCAGCAAAGAGGAATGGATTAAAAATTATTGTACACAAAAATATCCTATTGTGTTTTCAAAGGTTTTCTACAGAAGTGAAAGCACTGGTGGATGGCTTAGTAAAAAATTAACTCTTAGATAGAATAATATAATTTAAGTAACATAAGATTTATATCTGCATATTAAATCTTAGGGGAGAAAACAAAATACACAATGTTTATCTCTGGCAATGGGCTAATGATGGACATTTTTCTCCATTCTTCACTATCATATTATCGATTACTTTTCCAATTATAAGAACATGAAATACTATTATTTAGGGTGATTCTGATAGAAAGTTTCATCTTTCCTTTCTTAAGGATATGGGCATGGAGCCGACTTGTGCTGGCACACCTGATGATCATTCTCCACCTGACAACAGAGGATACTGCAGCTCCTTTGCAGTTAAATGCAAAGTCAATGAGCATGAAATATCTCTTAAAACTCAGAACCCAAATGGTAGAGATTGTAAAAAACATAAATTCACTTTTAACTGGAATAAAATATCTGGAAAATCAGAACATAGGGAGTATACAGCATCTGGTGAACTCAATGAGACTATCTACTCAGCTCTGACAGCTATTGAAGATTTCTGTGAAAGGATGGAGAAGCATTTTGATAAGGACATTATTGCTTATGAAGAGAAAAATATAAGAGGATATGTAAATTTAGGAATGCCTCTCAAGTGCCTCCTTCCAGAATCTCATTTAAAAATATCATTTTACAAAAGAAACAAAAACGAGAAAGAAAATAATATTTCCTCCACCGGGGAAAATGATCAGCTATTACGCCTATATAAAAATCCTAACAATGTTGAATGCATTTTGTTTCATGTTGTGGCTTTTGGGAAGACAACTAAGACTATTGTGAAGATAAGAGGATTTCATGGAAAGGGGAGTACTCTTTGTGTCTATGCCTTGGAGGGTGAAACTATCCAAGAAGCCCTGTGTAAAGATGGTCGATTTCGGTCTGACCTGGACCAATTAAAGTGGAGACTCATAGAAAATCATAAGATGGTTTATGAAAAACAGTCCAGAGTGAAGGATGTATCTGGGAAAACCTTAGAAATGGAAATTCTTAAAGAGTCACCTGTCAAGAAACATACCCATGAGAAAATTGAGCAGAAGAATGAAAGTGCCACTGGTGAAATCAGTCCCCAGGATCTGATGCCATCTCAGGTCCAGGTCCTCGAACCAGAGGCAGGTGGAGAGACTGAAGATGTAGAATACAGCCAAAAAAAAGTTCTCCCACCTCGAAGTCGAGGACATGATATTGAAGATAAAAAACGCAGGACAATTTCCAAAATTAAAAATTATTATCAGGAAAATCACACACAAAAAAACAGTAAACAAATCTCTCTCATTCAGCAAAGACCACATCTGGATATGCAATCTGCTATTAATTGGGATATCCAGGAGAAGACAACTGACCCCTGGCTAAAGAATTGCAAAATATTGAATAAAGTTATATTTCAGCAATATCCAAATTTTAATAAATATGCACTTTGTATGAAAAAGTTTTTTTTGGAAGAACAGAAGAAAAACGAACTGTCACCATCTGAACAATTCAGCATATATGAAAAGCACTTTGCAAAAGCGACTAAAAATTCTACTACCATTGCAAACTATGAGTTTCGTACCCAACGTAGTAAGTCAGTTGGGTTCATCTATTGGGATAATAATGGAAACATAGGCAATGCTACTTGCTTTGTCTTCAGTGCTGGTTACATTTTCACCTGTCAGCATGTTGTAGACTTAATTGTGGGAGAAGGCACAGATCCACATTTGTGGCCAGATAGAATAAGCAAATGTGCAAAAGTAACTTTCACTTATAAAAAATTACACTTTATTTTTGAAGAATGTTTTTCCATTGAGCCATGGTTTGAAGTGTATGATAAAGGTCTGGATTATGCCGTTTTAAAACTAAGAGCAAATGGAAATGGATTTCCTCCAGGCCTATTTGATCAAATTTCATCTTTGCCACCTAGTGGTTTGATTTATTTAATTGGTCACCCAGAAGGCCAGGTCAAGCAAATAGATGAGTGTGCTGTGATTACTATAGTGGATCGTGCAGGGAGGTACTCAGACATTGTTTTCTCTATGTTTACCCCAAGAAGTTTCCCACCTGTGGCTTGGCGCAGTGATGCACTTAGTTATGATACCTGTTTTATGGAAGGGTCCTCTGGCTCCCCAGTGTTTAATGCAGCTCACCAAGTCGTTGCTATACACTCCTTCGGACAGTTTTATGAACGTGATGGTAAGAAGCATGCCTTAATTGAATTTGGCTATTCTATGGAATCAATTCTTCATGATATTAAACAAAAAAATGAGGCCTTTTATAAACTGTTAACCGAAGAGAAAATTGAGAACCTCAATCAAGAGAAAAATAATAAACAAGAGTCGTCACTCCAAAATCAGCAGGTGGAACTCATGGAACATTAGAAGAAAATATGCCAAGAATTTAGAGTACATGGGGCTGCTTTCTTACAGTATAATAAGTGGGCTTTCTGGATTAAAAAACATTTAGCAAATGGTGTGGATGTGCAAAATACATAGTAGAGCTGAAATAAATACTGACTTTCTCCTTGGCTTTAAAAAAAATTGAAACAATCTAAATTCTCAGTTAAAATATGTATCTTCCTGCCAAAACTGGTTTGGCTCAGTGGATAGAGTGTCAGTCTGCGGACTGAAGGGTCCCAGGTTCGATTCTGGTCAAGAGCATGTACATTGGTTGCAGGTACATCCCCAGTAGGGTGTGTGCAAGATGCAGCTGGTCGATGTTTCTCTCTTTTTGGTTTCTAGCTCTCTATCCCTCTCCCTTCCTCTCTGTAAAAAAAAAAAAAAAAAAAAAAAAAAAAAAAAAAAAAATAAAATATAAAAAAAAAAAAAAAAAAGCATCTTCCTTATACATGTACAAAGAATCTGGTATTTGCCACCCTAAACACCACCCTGGTGATGTGGTTCTTATTCTGTGTCTAACAGGTTAATGAGGGAACATACCTAAAGGAGCTTAGTGCCAATGATGCTCCTTAGGTTATGTTCATTCCCAGGGCACATTCCCTCCCCAGAAATGCCTGACAATTTCCACAGCCATTCTCTACTGCCTCTGGCCCTCTTAACATTTTCCCATCTACAGATTCCACAGACAATCTGCAAGTTCCCTCAGACAATAATTTGCTTTACATACATGTTGCTACCATCAGTTTTCCCCCTAACCTTTTTCAGACGATTTTTACAATTAGGCTCTTAAAGCGTGCTCTCTGCAAACCCCACCCAGCACCCAGAATCAAAGCAGTGATGGCAGTTCTCGGTGTTTTTTGTTTTGTTTTGTTTTGTTTTTTGTTTTTACCTTAGGTCGAGCTTTCCCCATTATCCCACCAACACTACGACTTTCACATAAACATCTATTTTTCTGTAAGTTACATAAAAGTTATCACCATCATCACTTACCAATTACATTCTCTCCCTCTTTGACCAGTTGTTTTAACATAGCACCCAGTACTGAAGGCATCTGCCCTTCTTCCGGTTCTTAAACAGTAAGATGCTTCCTCCAGCCCCTTGCAAAGCACTCTGATCATCCGTTGGGAGATGCCAGACTCTGGAGCCCTCCATCAGGACTCTCTAGTAAGGCACCTCCTGGACGCCAGGAGTGCCGTCCAGGAGTGCGGTGCTGGCCTCCTTCTTCCTCCTGCTGGGCATGGTCTGCTGGGCATCAGCCCCTCCGACAAGTTGGCTCATTTGCCTGCGGGAAAGTGGGAGGTAGAGTGGGGGTCCCCCAAGTCTCACTAGACCTCAGCTGTCTGCTTTGGGGCCACTTTGTCCCATGGGAGCTGGTGAAGCACAGGGCGCTAATGGATGCCTCTGGGATCTGGACCTAGTGTTCGTGCTTTTCCGCAGCGGTCCCAGGTCTGGCGGGGATGCTCATTCCACCCACTACAGCCGCCCACCTCGCAGCATCTGGAGGCATTGACCACGAGGCACAAAGCACGGGGGGGGGGGGGGGGGGGGGGAACGACGACGATGTGGGGATCGGTGACACAAAGCAAACCTGGTCTGGAGCACTGTTCCCGCTCAGTGCAATCAGCGCCCTGGAAATCGCGGATCCCCTGGCTCCTCCTGCACCCTCTTCTCCCTGGCTCAGCTTCTCAGGCGACTACACTGGACCCGGGAGGGCGGGGAAGGGTGGAGGGACAGGATTGAGAAAAGTCTGTCACTGAAGGTGGGAGCTGGCAGTGGACCAAGTTGCGAAAGGCGCAGTGGGACGCAGCAGGATCCAACAATAGCCAGGGCTGCTGCGCAGGCACTTCCCTGGAAACTCCCTCCTGGAAACTCGCCCTTCCGCCCGCCCTTCCTGGCTCGCCCCTTGGCCTTCTATTGGCCACCAGCTGAGAAGCGCGGGCTTTTTCACTTCCTGTAGGGTGGCGGTTCACGAAAGAGCCAGCTGGGCGCCATTTGCCAAGCTCCAGTCCCACTGCTGCGGTCCCTGGCACGGTTGGGGCACATTCTCCGCTTCTGTGAGTGGTTCTTCTGCATTTGGGTGGGGCCTGGAGGTCTTAGGGGGTGATTGGCATGGCGTTGTGGAGGGGTGGATAGCCAGCTTTCCATTGTGGGACCCCCTTCTTGCTCCCCACCTTCAAAGCTGATTAGTTTGACACCTGGAAAGCCACCTGGAGACAGTCTAGGCAGCTGTTCCAACTGACAAGCTGTGAGCAGCTCCAGACATACTGCATGGTGATTCTGGAGGGCGGAGTCCCCTACTTTCCTTGGTCACAAGTGGGGGAGGGGGGAGGCGGGAAGGGGCGATTCACAGGCACAAAGTTTAATCTGAGCCCAGCTCCTTAACTCCTTCTTGTACAAATGAGGAAAGGGAAAGGCCCAGGTGGGGTGTGGGGAAAATACCATCTAATTGTATTTTTGTTGGTGGGGGGAGGGGGTTCTTTCCTGCTGTTGGGTAGTCTCCACCATTGCTGCCATGTGCTTTCTCAACTGAAGGGGGGCGGAGGGGGGGGGGGGGGAAGAGGATAGCTCTGCATATAGCCCAGAGTTCTTTCTCTGTAAACAGGGACCACTTTGGCCTGTCAGCTCTATCTCCTCAAAGCAGGAATTCCTACCTGCTCTGCCATGCCGCCCCTCCTTGCAGCCTGGCCTGAATGTTTCCGGGCAGTCACCCCTGTAACCATAGGGTGCACTTCATTCGTGACTGCCCCTACCTGCGTGGTGTCCAGTTCCTTGCCAACATAAGCTCTGGTCAATCTGTCCCGAAGGTTGTTTCAGGCTGGTAGGACTTTCTGAAACCAACATCAAATACTTCACCTGGCTCCCGTTTCCCCCGTGTCCAAGGAAAGCATAGAAGATGGAATGGGGCTAAGTGGGGGAGGGAGGGGAGGGGAGTTGGGGGGAGCTTAGGCAGATGTGAAAGCGAAAATAACCCTGAGGCCAGCAGAGCGGCAGGGCAGTCCCGCGTCTTTTCAAATCTCTTCCCCACCCGCTGCCTGTCCAGCGGGCCCAAGCTAACAGCGCGCTCTGCTGGGCCAGCTGGCTATCTCCGCAGCTCCAACAAGAGCCGGCCTCCCGTATTGGTAGCGCCCAGATGATCCGTGGAATGGGTGAAGGCGGGGTGCGGGGACGCAGGGGTGCTCCGCTGGGTCTGCGTGCGGGTGTTCCGGAGGGTGTTGGGGAGTCTTCGAGCCTGGAGTGTGGAAGAAGCTGCCCGCCCTCTACCCCAGGTGTGCCGACAGCGGGCACAGGTTTTATTTCAGCGGATGATTCTTGTCACGTGCTGTGTGCTGGGGCACAGTGGCAGTGGGCTTGATGGAGGCCTAGGGTTAGCAGAGACCAGATCCCTGCTCTCTACCAGCCTATCTCAGCTCTAGTGGGCCAGCCCAGCGCCAGAGAGATGAGTGAGAACAGAAGAGGAGAGGGAGAGGCAGGAGGGGGAGGGAAGAGAGGAGGAACCAGAAAGACCAGAAGAACCAAGTGTAGAGGGAAAGGAAGGGAGGGGAATGAGATGGAGGAGGGAGAGACAAAGAAGAGAGATGAGAGGGGAGATGAATTCCAAGGGGGAACCTTTGAGGTGGCTGGAAATGGGCCAGCCCACCCGAGTTTACAAACAGAAAGCTAAGGCTGAGAGAGGCTGAAGCGAATTGTACACCTAAAACCTATATAATTTTATTAGCCAATGTAACCCCAATAAATTCAATAAAAATTAAAAGAAGTTCCTGGCACATACAGTAATAGGGTCTCAAAAAAAAATGTGCTTAACTAATGAATGAATGAAAGTATGTGGAGGTTCATATGATTCTTTTTTTTTTATTTGAAAATGGTTATAAAAAGTCATCAAAAGTATATTCTCTGAGGCTTTGTGACCTTGAGTAAATAGTTTAATCTCTATGGGTGTTCAAGTTCTTTACCAATAAAATGGATTAATCATACTTATCTCACAGGATTGTAAGAATTATATTGGGGCCCTAGCTGGTTTGGCTCATTGGATAGAGTAGGGGTGTCGAACTCAATCAGAGAAGGGGCCAAAATCTAAAATCCAGCCTAAATCACGGGTCGAATGGTTTACTGAACAGTCATGAAGTGTCACTGTGATGGAAACGCAGCAGAGTGCAGTGATGACAGCGCGGTGGGGGCCACATTGCAAGGCCTGGCGGGACGGATTTGGCCCGTGGGCCTTGTGGTGACACATGTGGGATAGAGCATCCACCAGTCATTGATTCCAGTTGGTTGCAGGCTCCATTCCGGGTCCTTGTCAGGTGCATGCAGGAGGCAACCAATCCATGTGTCTCTCTCACATGGATGTTTCTCTATATATATCTCTTCCTCTCCCTTCCACTCTTTCTAAAAGTCAATGGAATCCTCAGATGAGGATTAACAAAACAAAACAACAAAAAATAATTATATTGGGTAGTTTATGGAAAGCACATAGAACAGGGCATAGTGCATCATATGCATACTCCATTCATTGATTAATTGTATCTTTATTAATGTATCTATACTGAGGGATTGCCATCTGGCAGGCATTATGTTAGATGAAGACAGGCAGCTGCTGGACTTCCATGGCTTCCATTCTAGTGATATTTATCATGATTAAAGATTTCACTCTTTTATTGACATTGTTCATTCTCATCTGGGGAGACATCAGAGGAAATAGAGAGGGAGAAATACCACTTTAAACAAACTAAGTAAAGCAGCAACTAATATTCCTAACTTTCCGGGAAAACTCTTCACTGTACATCTATTTTGTCTTTATGGTTCTTTTCCCATCATTTTCCTAAAATTACACCATCCCCCTGTGCCATATGCAATTTAAGTGGAGGCCAGAGTTAACATCCATGTAGCTAAAACACACTTTTTATTTCTCCAACTGCAATTTCTTTTCTAGTGCATCTGCTTTTGAATTTTACCTCTGCCATGTAGCTCTAGCTTTCAGGAGGTCACCTTTCTTGTCTGGGTTGTACTTTACTCATTTGCAAAAACAGCTGTACCTATTTGACATGGTATCTGTGGGCATTGACAATTAGAGGTAACTTTTGTAAAGTACAGAGGATTGTTCTCTATCAAGGGGAGTTTTTATGATTGGAGTTTTTATGATTGGATAAACTGTCTACTTGGTAAGTTAACATCTCTGAGAAGGGGAAAGCTGGAGCTACAGAGAGAGGTCCCTGTTAATCTTATCCTCTGTACAAATAATGGTTGCTATGATGATATTGTTCTAACTTGAATCTTTGTAGTGTTTCAGCTGAACTGCCTATTCATCTTCAAGCCATCATGAGCTCTAAAAAACGCAGGTCACTGAAAGTCCCATTCAATGCAAGGAATAATATGAAAATTGAGCATTATTTTCCTCAGGTATGTTTGTCAATACTGTTTACAGAACATATCAATATTATACTTAGCCATCTTGACACTGGGATTTATAGTTTTCCTGCAAAGAAATTGCCTCATTGAATGTAGGAAATGTTAAATAAATTAAAATCTTTCTCATTCATTGTATTTCTTCTGTTTGGAGGGGTGGCAGTGAGGAATTTTAACAAAAATCTCATTCTTGCTGAGTTTGGTGCTCTATCAAAGCAGTCTTTAACAAAAAGCTATTGTAACATTTCCTGAACAACAACAACAAAAATCAAATATAATGTTTACAGTAACATATGGAATAAAAACAAAAGTAATGTTATTTTATAGCATGAAAATATATAACATGCAAATATGGCTGATCTTTTTTATAATAATAATAATACATCTGCTTAGGGCTTTATAATTTATAAAATAATATTTTAAATATTTAGTTTTACTATAAGCAAGCAAGGAGAACTTTCTTATCTTTGATTTGTTTATGAAGAGAGGAAAAGAAGTGTGTTGCTTCTTAAGGCAGTAGTGAAATGAATACTTGGACTCAAATTTACTGACATTAAGTGGGGGCCCTTTGTACTAATTGAACTCTATTATCTTAGCAAGCCATCATATTCCTTCTTAAGTCTAAAATGCTCCTTGAATTTATTGTGAAAGGCTGAGAGATGGTGAGCATTTGAGAATGCAATTTAAAAGCCTTTCTTTCATTCTGATTCTAACTAGAACATCCAAGAATGTAGAAAAGCCAAACCTAGTTCTATTTTTCTCTGTCCCACTCCATGACAGTGCAAGCTTGTCATGTAAGCCCCAAGATTCTTCTTTGAAGCTGTCTATATCTGCCCAAGAATTCTCTGAATAGCTGGAAATCCATCCTAGTGTTCCAATGGACTGTGCGACAAAGATGCTTCCAACAATATTAGGCTGGAGAGACACTCTTTCAGAGTTCATATTTATGCCCAGAATAAATTTATATCACCATGTTTCTTTTGTTTTAATCCAGAATATTAGTACCATTAAAAAGAAGGAAAACAAAAGTTAATTCACTAATTTGTCAGTCACTGTGCTAAGGATTGTCACACAGGATGTTACACTTAATTTTTATCTATCATGGCATCTGTTGGCACTCATGCCATGATAGATATTTCTTGGCCAAATGTATCTTTCAGACATAGGGATCAGATGCTCTTAACTTACAGGAAAAATTTTCTGTGCCTCATTTTCTCCATCAAAAGGAGAGAGATGCCATATTTGTTGCTCCTCTTTTCATAGGATTTTGGAATAAACTCATGTAATAGAGGAAATAATTTAAGTTCTTTACATGAAAGTGCTAGTTGAATCAGGGTTTTACTATTAGAAATAACTATGTTATTATGACCAAATAATTACTTAACTGATGATGATGATGATTTTGTTTAACATTAAATGACCAATAATAAACCATGGTACCTTATTCTTGCTGAGTTTGGTGCTATAAGAACAAGTTTTTGGTGCAATCCATCACTGTGATTAGAAAAAGTAAAAATTATTCAGAGACCTTATAGAATTCTCTAAGAGAGCTGGCAGACTTTTAAGCATCTCTTCTGTTTTTGATGGGCCTTGAGACAGTTGTTTCTTTCCTATTTCTCAGGGGAGAAATGCACCAATCTGGCACAATTAAAAGCTTGTCTAACTAATGGGATGGGAAACGCAGCTTATATCTTGGCTCCCAACTCAAACTTTGGTTTAATTCTATTTACTGGCCTTTGGAGACTGGTTCTGAGTTTCCTAGAGAAATTTTATGAATTGCATACTAAAAAGAAAAACAAAATGTTAGAGTTGCTTCCATCATTTTAAAGTCTTTAACACTTCCTTTTAGGTCAATAAAGAACAAGAGGATAATCCCAGTATTCCTCAAATGAAGACTGGCTCCAGAAAAGGCCCAAATGATATAACTAATACCCAGGCTCAAAGACCCAAAGACCAGGCTATACCTCAAGATAAAGTACTTTACATTACCTTGCGTGTACACCACAGGAAAAACAAAAAAAGAAAACACAGACTCACACATAATGAGAGGGCTAGCTTATCCGTGGCACTTGACACTCTTCAGGCTGTCAAAGAAGAGAGAGAACGACAGCAAGGCAAAGAAATGCTGGTGCAGGGCATAGAAGGAATTGAAGGTTATATAAACCTTGGAATGCCCCTCAGTTGTTTTCCTGAAAAGTGCCACCTGGAAATTACATTTGCCCTGAGTAAAAGTGAGCAGAAAAAAGGGAACCAGATATTTGGTCGGCATGACAAGGCATCTACTGACTGTGTCAAATTTTTTATCCACGCAATTGGGAAGAAGATAAAAAAGATTGTCAAATGTGGGGAACTTCACAAAGAAGGGTGCAAACTCTGCGTCTATGCTTTCAAAGGAGAAACCGTCAAGGATGCTGTGTGCAAAGACGGCAGATTTCTTTCCTTTCTGGAGAACGCTGATTGGAAACTCATTGAAAACCTGGACTCCATTGTAGAAAGCACACAGCGAGTTGATGACTTGGAGGGCAAGCTCTTTCAGGTGGAAGTTGAGAAAAAGGAGGGCTCTAAGGTAGCAGCCACCCAGAATTTTGATTCGGCAGCCACTCAGAATTTTGATTCGGCAGATTCTCAGAATTCGGAGTTGGAGGAAAGAAACACATGTGTGTTAAAAGAAGAAATTGTGGCCCAGTATCCTAGTTTAAAAAGGGAAACTGAAAAAATTAGAAAAAAATTTGAAAGGAAATTTAAAACAAGAAAGGGGGAAACAGTATTTCGTACAGATAAAACAAACTTTGGGAAACAGACAAAAAACTCTATCCCGGTTAAAATACTCAAACTTCTTTCTCGTCATAGTGACTCAGTTGGGCACATTGAATGGGACAACAATGGGAACACGGGTTATGCCACTTGCTTTGTTTTTACAAAGTTGTTCATTTTTACTTGTCGGCATGTAATAAGTGACATTGTGGGAAATGAAATAGAGCCAAGTAAGTGGGCAGACATAATTGGTCAATGTGTAAGGGTGACATTTGGTTACGAAGACAGACAAGAAAAAAATAACTATTTTTCCATTGAACCTTGGTTTCTGGTATCTGATGTAACTCTTGATTATGCTGTTCTGAAATTGAAGGAAGATGGACAACAAGTACCTGTTGGACTATATAATGGAATTGGTCCTGCTCCACTTTGTGGGTTGATATATATTATTGGCTATCCAGGAGGTGAAGTAAAGTCTACAGATGCTTGTGTTGTAATTCCTCAGTATCAGCGAGTACAGAAATATCGGGAAAATCTTCAGGCTAAGGGTTATAATGATGACATGCAGTATATCCATATGTACACTCAAAAAAGTTTCCAGGACATTGTTCCCAGACCTGATGTGATTACCTATGACACTTCTTTTTACTTTGGGTCTTCTGGCTCACCAGTGTTTGATTCGAAAGGTTCTTTGGTAGCCATGCATACTGCTGGCTTCCGTAATCACTACCAAAGTGAATTTTCCAGTATCATTGAGTTTGGCTCTATTATGGAATCCATCCTCCATGATATTAAACAAAATTATGGAACATTTTATAAAGAATTATGCATAACTCAGCAGGATATAGAAATGGTAACTGGTGAAGAGGGAGAACAGTGAGAATTTTGAGACTAGAACTAGTGTAATGGTTGTGTTTTTTCCCCACCTCTGTATGTTTTCACTAACTTCAGTTGCTTGCAGGCAGGATCCAAGACTTATTCATCTCATTATACCCAAAATCTGACACATAGAAAGTAAGTGCTTAGAAAATATATGGGTCATTTGGTAGCAAAACTTAGGGCTTCAGTTAATTTTTTTTCCTAATTAATTTTTATTCTTGAGAGTATTACAGATGTCTCCCATTTCCCCTCCATTTGCCCTCTCCACCCAGCTCCCACCCCACCCCAGGACTTTATCACACTATTGTCTGTGTCCATATATGCATTTAAGTTCTTTGGTTACTCTCTCCTCACCCACTTCTCAGGCGGTGGGAGGTTGGCTGTGGGAGTGCACTGACCACCAGGGCAGCTCCTGCATTGAGCTTCTGCCCCCTTGTGTTCAGTGCACATCATTGCTACCAGCCAGTCATCTTGTCATCCAGTTGTAACATTAACTTAGGCTTTTATATATAGACTAGAGGCCTGGGTGCATAAAATTCATGCATGAGGGGATGTCCCTCAGCCCAGCCTGCATCCTCTCCAATCTGGGAATCCTTGAGGGATGTCTCACAGGCCATTTAGGCCCGATCCCAGTAAGATTGGTCCTAAACAGACAGTTGAACATCCCTCTCACAATCCAGGACTGCTGGCTCCCAACTGCTTGCATTCCTGCCTTCCTGATTGCCCCTAACCACTTCTGCCTGCCAGCCTGATCACTCCCTAACCACTCCCCTGGCAGCCTGTTTACCCCAAGCTGCCCTCCCTTGCAGGCCTAGTCACCCCTAACTGCCTTTCCCTGCAGGCCTGTTCACCCCCAACTTCCTCTGTCGGTCTGGTCACCCCTAATTGCCCTCCCTTTCAGGCCTGGTCCCTCCCAACTGCCCTCCCCTGCTGGCCATCTTGTGTCCACATAGGGGCAGCCATCTTGTGTCTACATGGGGGCAGCCATTTGTGTGTTGGAGTGATTGTCAATTTGCATATTACTCTTTTATTAGATAGGATAGAGGTCTAGTGCATGAGTGGAGGCCAACTGGTTTGCCCTGAAGGGTGTCTCTGATCAGGGTGTGGGGTCTGTGGTGGTTTGCAAGCCAGCCATGTACCCGGCAACCCAAGTGGAGACCCTGGTACCTGGTATTTATTTATCTTCTATAATTGAAACTTTGTAGCCTTGAGTGGAGGCCAAGGCAGGCCAGGGCTGCGAAAGCTTGGCTTCCTCCACCTCCTGGGGAAACTCAAGCCTCCAGCTCTCTCCAGCTCCATGGCTGCTGCCATTTTTGTTGGGATTTATTTATTGTATCTTGTATAATTGAAACTTTGTATCCTTGAGTGGAGTCCAGGGCTGGCCAGGGTTTGTAAGAAGCTTGGCTTCCTCCATTGCTGGAGAAAGCCAAGCCTCCTGCTCTCTAGGTGGCTGCAGTCATCTTGGTTGGGTTAATTTTCATACTCGCTCCTGATTAGCTGGTGGGTATGGCTTGTGGGTGTAGCAGAAGTGCAGGCAATTTGCAAATTACTCTTTTATCAGATAGGATAGATAGCTTTTTCAGATTGATTTCTATCACTTAGCAATATGTAATTGTGTGTGTATACTGCAATTTGTTTATTCATTTACCTTTTGAAAAATCTCTCAGATGCTTATGGTTTGGAGTGATTATAAATAAAGCTATAAGTATTTGCATACAAATTTTTGTGTGAATATATGTTTTCAATTCAAATGGGTAAATACCAAAGAGGGTGATCACTAGGCTGTATGGTAAAATCTGTTTCACTTTGTAAGCATCTGCTGAACTGTCTTTCAATGTGACTGTACCATTCTGTGTTCCCACCAGCAATGAAGGAGAGTTCATATTGATTCACATCTTCACCAGCACTTGGTATTGCCACTTTTTTTGGATTTTAGACATATTCATCATATTGAAATGCATGATATTCTTCAGGATCTTATGAGATTTATCATGAAATTGGAACTATCTTAGATTCTCTAGTATATGTATAGTATATAGTTATGGTATCAGTTCATATTCTGTCAGGAAAATAAAGCCACTATAAATATTACAAGAATAAGGTATTTAATTAGGAATGAGGGGTTAGATGAATGTGTGGGAGGAGCAGGGGAAGAGATCTGTAAGGCTGCAGGAAGGGGGTGACAGCCAAAGCATTGGGAAGGGGAGAGAAGTGGTAGAGTCACAACTTCCAGAAGGTTGCAAAATTGCTACATTGGATGTAACTTCTAAGTGGGAGCTTATATAGATATTGCATAGTACTATCTGACCTCCATGATTTTTCAAGAAACAATGCCTACCACCTAAGTTTCTCATGAGTTTATCTCATGGACAAATGCTAACCCATAGAGCACAAGGATTCTGGGGGGAAAAATAGTTCCTAGCTTTTTAAGGAAGTGGTGTTGCTAGATAACCAGCACACACAGACGTACACACACAAAATACATGAACATGTATACAATCATAAATTATTTTCAGTGAGGTTGTAATACAGTTTTTTTCATAAAGTGTATGTCCCAACTTTAGCAGATTACTAACTGCAAGTCATCTGCACACTCCCTATGTCTGAAAATAAATTATGCTATAAACAAATGCTACCACCAAGTATTTTTTGACAGAGAGAAGTATCAAGTAAAAGATCAGGCTAAAATTCCACACAGTTAGGAAAAAACAAGTTTTCTTCTATTTCCTTTTGATCTTTCATACTGCCCACCTCTTTTATGTCCGCTTATTTTCTACGTGGGAATTCCAGATGAGCTCACAAAAGCATTAAATGTGGTCTTTTTTTTTCCCTCATTGATACTTTGTTTCTTTTCCAGCACATTCATTTCCTATGCCCTCTAACAATCCGGAACCCCTCAGGAAATGTCTGAAGGCTGGTTTCGGCCTGACAGTGGTACAACCCATCACTATGATGCACAATGACCACCAGGGGGCAGATACTCAATGCAGGAGTTGCCCCCTGGCAGTCAGTGCACTCCCACAGAGGGATCACCGCTCAGCCAGAAGCCAGACTTATGGCTGGCGAGCACAGCGCTGGTAGTAGCTGGAGCCTCTCCTTCCTCTGCAGCAGTGCTAAGGATGTCCGACTGACAGCTCCTGCACTGCGAGAGGATGCAGGCCAGGCTGAGGAACCCCCAACCCTGACCCCCTAGTGCACGAATTTCATGCACCAGGCCTCTAATATAACATAAAATCCCAAAAGTACAGGTAGAAAGGGAAATCCCAGCTTCCGTTAAAGACTGAAAAACCTCCAGGCACTCAGAGGCCATTTTCCAGCACAACATCGCCACCTGCTGGATGCAGCCACCAGTGCGTCCCTTCTAAACAAATGCAGCCATTATTAACCTGGTGCTAAACTTGTTGACTAACAAAAGAAGGATCCAAAAAAACGCCTTGGTAGTAAAATACAAATGTTATGTATACTCGGTAGCTCAGTCAGCCTGGCTTTAGCATCATCTTAGATTTCACATGAAAAAGTGGCAGTTGACTTCCTGGGGGAAACTTTATCCCCTACTTTATCATCTGTATTTTGTTGTTTTCCTCCAGGAAGGGGTCACCCTGTCTTTTGATACACAGACTGAAATAAGATCATCCTAATTCAATCATAGATGAAAGTGACTTGAGACAGAATTACAGAATGTCAAGGTTCTGGTCTCTCACTTCTCAAGTTTAGCCCTCCAAGAGCTTGGGATGTTTACAAGCCCCTTCTCTTATCCAACCTGAACTCCAATTTTTATCTTGTCAGTACTATGTCTTTAGGGAACTCTGCCCCACTTTTCATTGACTCAGCAGGGTAGAAATGGGTAGCAGGGCATGAAAGGTAGAGCAGTCCTGAAGGGTCTAAAGGACATAAAAATAATGATCTCTGTCATATGTGCATTTCACTTATCAATTTAGCTCCTGAAGAAACCAAGTAAGTACCCAAGAATAACAGTTGATTACTGATAGATTAAATAGAGAAGGTAGACCTGAGACCGGGATGGCAGGACACAGGCTTTATTGGAGGGAAGGGTACCCCTGCCGGCTGCTTCCACGGAGAGGTGCGGAAGAGAGCGAGCGAAGGGCTTACAAGCACCTTTAAGGTAGAGGGCGGGGCTTAGGGCACTTAGCACACGCTGATTGATTAGGGACCTAGGGACTTAGGAATGGGGGCTTAGGGTATTTGGCAGGTGATGATTGGTGGTTCAGAGCTCAGGAATGTCCAGCCGCATGTGGGGTTTATGTCTGTCCATCAACTGAGGGAAGGGAGGATCTATCAATTACCACAAGGTCAAACCAAGTGTAGGTACAACTGCGCCCACTGTGCCAGATGTGGTAGCAAATTACAACTGCCTCAGGTGCATGGTGTGTGGACATTAATTGGATGAATTGCTTTTTTCTATTGGGATGAGAAAAGGAGATTAGCCATGACGATGTTTCCAAGTGATTAGAGCATTTGTTCACCAACCAAAAGGTCATGGGTTCAATTACTGGTCAAGGGCACATACCAGTACCTGGGTTACAGTTTTGATCCCCAGCTCAAGGCTCCCACAGTGATAACCTATTGATGTGTCTGTCTCACATCAGTGTTTCTTTCTTCCCCCCTCCCTCCCTTCCACTCTCTCTAAAAATCAATGGAAAACTATAATCGCATGGATGGAGTAGAGAGAGAAAATCTAGACTATTTGTACTTCCTGCGAACCACTTCTCAATGATTTCATGGTAATCAGGTCATATGATCAAGAAGTAGCCAACACCTAGAGGTCATGGTCCTCTAAGGGAGGACCAGAGATGAACCTTATGAAGAATCAGAGGCTCACCAGATCAGGTACATGCCCAGGACATCTTATCCAAAGTGAAAGATAAATTATTGAATCTTGCATACCCCACTATGAAGAAGAAAGTGCACTGCTCTTGGTTTTTGAAAGTAGCATATTCCACACCTGAACATACTGCTTCAGTCCATGTACAAGGTGACACAATAGGCTGCCAGCTTTAAATGAGGCCTAGATTAGGAAAGAGTCTGAGGAAGATCCTGGCTATGGTAGAAACAGTGCAGCTACTTGTGCAGTATAGCCTAGGTGACCTTATGGCGTTAAAGTATCAGATGTAGGAAAAGATATGAGATGGAGTTCATAGCAAGCCCATATGGAAGAAGCACAGTACAGACTCCTCTTGGGGCTCTGGAGCAAGGCCATCCCATCTGCATTGGAAATATATGCCTGTTGAGTGACGATTCCTGGTGTGCTGTTGGCTCAGTAAAGATGGAGCACCTGACCTTGAGACACCAAGTGACTGTGCATCCAGAACTGATATGAAGTGGTGGGTTCTATTAGATTTACCATGCCATACGTCAGGCGAGGCCAAAAATTATCTCTTGTAATATGGAGGTGGTGCACCCAGGATTGAGTCTGAGCAAGAAAAAGATCACAAGTGATTTCCATGAACAATGTGAGGAGCATCCCTGCAAAGCATCCACATCCTAACTGCTGGAACCTGAGGCTATATGATAGGTTACTTGGCAAAGGGAAAATGTGGGGCATCTCTGATTGGCCACTTTAACTCCAGAGCTCCCTGT